TTTTTGCCTTATGCGGGCCTCTCACTGCTGTGGCCTCTCCCGTTGCGGAGCACAGGCTCCGGAGGCGCAGGCTCAGCGGCCATGGCTCATGCGCCCAGCCGCTCCGTGGCATGTGGGATCTTCCCGGACTGGGGAACGAAGCCGTGTCCCCTGCATCGGCAGGCGGACTCTCAACCACTGCACTACCAGGGAAGCCCCTTTGCCTCCAATTTAAAAAAAGGCTTATCATTACAGTCAGTGCTAAAACTAATTGAATTCAGAAGGTGAACTGCGACAAGTGAATTGTGACTGTGACTGGACTACTTAATTTGTTGTTTTCTTTCAATTTATGACCCTTCGTCACAGATGATTTGTCTTTGATGCTCTTTCTGTTTTTGAGTTTATTTCTAGTCATAAAGAATCTGGTCTGTATAATTAAGGGGAGCTGAGAAAATATAATTAGCTAAACATGCAGGAATTAGATGGCAAATCTTCTTCATGACAGAAATGTAGCCCCAGACCACAGTCTTTCTTGGATAAAGACCTTACTCGTCGACTCTCCTGGGATTGTGAATATGAATTGCTCCATTCCCTGAAGGCATTCCTGTGTAGCTCCCTCTGGTGGTGTATCTGTTTAAAACCCACCTGCACAAGCTGCTTCTTCACCCTCCAGCCCCATTCCTGACTCTGGATGTGTGTGTACAAATCCATACTTGTTGACTTAGGAAAGCCTCTAGCGGATGTGTATCAGCATGGTAAGGTCTAGTTCAAAAGTAAATGCTATTTGGACCATTAAGACGAATGCCAGAGGAAGAACTAAAAACAACAGTAGCAGCAACTTCTAAATAAACACAAAATCCCAGCAGGTGTACACCATGCCCTCCTCTAGAAAGGACCGGGTGGTTCTGTGAATATACGAGTCCAGACTTAGGTGCCCTTTGGACAAGCCCCTGGATGACACAGTTGAGTACCTGTACATGAGACAGAGTGATTGCATGCTATGGGATGTAATGGTATCATCATTATGGGTTACAACAGAGAAAGGTTGTTGTAGCCACAAGGATGTGGACGGTTTCATATGTGAGGACATATGTGGATTCTGAAGAGTAAAGTATTTCTGAGTGATTAACTACTCCTTGGACGTGTTTTGTCAAGTGGTGAATAAGGCTGATCTAAAGCAACAACAGAACACAAGCCAGATGCCCCCAGCAGGCCTGACTGTGATCTGTGGCTTCAGATGGGGCCCCAGTAAGAGCAATACCCATATTTCATTGCCCCATTTGCTGAGCAAAATACTGTAAGGCACACGGCCTCTGGAGTTGAAGTGTCTGGCTTCCAAGCCAAGACGTTGCTCTCCCCTGCGTGTACCCTTGGGAAAGTCGCTCAATCTCTCCATCCTTGGCTTCCTCACTTGTCCAGCGCAGTAGTGCCTATTGTATCGGGTGGTGGTGAGGATTAAATGAGATAGCACAAGTAAGAGCTGAGGACGGGGCTGTGTACATGCAGGCTGAGTAACTGAAAACGATTACTATTCATTTTTAACCACACTAGCTGCCTCATCCTTCATGTTGCTGGGTCTCCAGGTTGTGTCTCACATTTGCTCACAGGCAAGTAACATCTGCCATGATCTCTTGGTCCTCCCACGGCCCTGCCGCAGAGCAAGAGAGTATGTTATCACCACCTCTGGGCCACCATCATGCTGCAGTGGACCTCTCCTAGGATGTCTGTTTGACTCACCACCACCCTCTCTCCTCTGGCCCCTATGGTCCCGCTAACCTGTGTGACCCTGGCCCCCTCCGTGGGTGGGTAATTTAGGATTTGTCCTCTGATCCGTCCTGTATGAAGCAGTATCTGTCTTCTGTGAATCTGAAATTTGGAACAAACAAGCTCAGAAGTTGTCTTTGCTGGAACCAACACATGCTAACAAGAATGTTCTAGAGAGAAGGTTTCATGATGTTATGCAATCCTGAATCCCCAGCCACACTCTCTTCAACCGCGTCAGCTCCTGTTCTTCTCAAGCTGGAAGGTGGATGGCTGCCCCATTTAGAGCATCTTCCCCCTTCTCCACCCCGGTCCTTAGTGAAGAATTGTGCCCCAAAACACAAAGTTCTCTCACACTCCCTCTAAGTGGCAAACTGCAAATAGCCTGTCTGACGGTTCTTCTCAAGCTGAAAGTAGGTGTTTTGTTTGTAAAGCTGGAGCAAGTGGAAGAGTTATCACTGAAAGAAGAACGGAGAATATTTGTAAAATGAGCAGATCTCCTGTTTTCCACGGCATCGGGCATTTAAAAATGTCACAGATGGTTTCACTAGAGGATTACGCACAGTGTGCAGAGATCCAGACACACCTGCTTATTTACCTCTTCTCTTGAGCATCACAATTGTGGGACAAGTTGAGAGGCAGAATGGTATAAAGAAAAGAACACTGGCTTTGGGGTCCAGGCAAACTCAGGTTCCGAAGCTTGTACCCTAATGTGTTCTTGTGATCACAAGGGATTTAGCTAACTTCTCTGAGCATCATTTCCTCTCTCTGTCAAATCAAGATGGCAATACGATACTGCTCAGGACTCCTTAAGTTGCAAGTGATAGAAACTCAACTTGAATGGCTTCATCCAAAAAGGGACTCTTGTTAGCTCATGGAGCCCAGCCAAGGAAAAGCTTCACCTCAGAGCTGGCTGGGTTCAAGGACTGGATCACCACCAGCACTGTCAGGTTCTCTTCTTTGCTGACTCTGAAAATTGGTTTCATTCTCTGCTTCTGAAGATGGGCAGCGTTCAATAGCAGGGAACATGCTCTAGACTCAAATCTTTCCAGATAAAAACCTTTGTTCTTTGAGCTTCCATTGAAGACATTTCCAGGGAATTTGATTCCTCTGCCAAGGACCCCTGCCCAGCTTGGACCAATCATGGGGCCAGTGGGAGGAGGTGCTACGCTCGGATCAGCCTGGGTCATGTGACAGCCCTGGGGGTGAGTGGTGGCATGGTGGGGCTTCTGAGGAAATCACTAACAGCTGTCCCAATGTGTCCACTTCCTCGCAGTATCTTTATGATTTGAAGGAAGTCACCGAGTAAAGTTCCTGTTCTGGAATAGCCTCTCTGGTGACAGACCTCCTGGAGGACACTTAGGGGAAAAAATGTGGGCATCTTGGCCTCTCTGTTCCTCTGACACTTCAGATTCATTATGTCTGACTTGGCACACATCTTCCTGACTCGCTGCTCCTGTAGACGGCCCCGCCCCTAGGTCTGAAGCTATGCCCACACCGTTGGTATCTCCAGGGCCCTCGCAGCCTGGCACTGCTTCTCCCGCAGGCACGTGAGTCTCATCTGCACCCTCTTTCCCATTCTGATGGTCATGGCTGTGGTCTGTTACTCACAACTTCCTCAGCAGGAGCAAGCTCTGATCCTGTCGCTGCTTCAGAATAACAGTGGCTCTCTGTCATTTCCCAAATGAGGGAGAGACTCCACAGCTCGGCATCTGAGGACTGCCACACTATCCTGGACAACTTCTAAGCCATCCTTGCAGGTATTGGGTGTTCAGATCCTGCTCCTGTGGGGCAAAACAAACAGAAAAAAAACCCTGTGAGGACCAATGTAAGCAAAAGAGCAGGAAGGAGTGGGGCTGGTTGCTAGGCAACCATGCAGTGATGAAAGAAACCTGCGCTGAGGCACATGATGTCAGAAGCCAGTGAAATCACTGGCAGTCTTTGATTTATGTTTTGGTTGGAAAGACTCACCAATTTAGGGCGCTACCTTGATGGAATTTTGTGAAGGCATTTGCCTCTGATAATGTGTTGAGGCCCAAGAAAATTTTCCCTGTTTGGTGGTAAAAAAAACCCTATTAACTACTATTGTTTTTATCAAGGAAAGTGGGGTGGGGCGGTTGGTGAGTATAGAGTGGGAGAGATTTTCTAAGTAGCAAAAAATAAGAATAAAATGAACATCATTATTCTGCTTTTCAGAGCTAGTTGCTTTATTTCATGATGGTTGCCTAGAAACTTTGTTTATATGTATTTATAAAGAAATAAATGATAAACTTAGGCCTAGAAATCCAAATGAAAAACATGCCTTTCTCAGCTCTGAGATGCTGTATTTATTCTGGGATGCTAAGAGGCCATGCTTGCCTCATTCTTCTATTTCCAGACTATCTTTTCAAGTTGCTGAAAAAGAAAAGTCATACACATACACACATACACAAACATATGTGTGTGTGTGTGTATATATATATATATATATTTTTTTTTTTTAACAGGAATTTGAAGCAAATCAGAGTTCTTCCTTATTAAGCTGTTTTTCAAAGTTTGCGATGAACCATTATTGCCAACAGGCATTCATTTATTCTTAGAAATGCTTGCAAACACTCCTGGCACCTAAGCATAATTAACATGGAGATGAGCATGGGAGACACAATGCAAGAGTGGCTGCTAATCCACTTCTGCTTGTCGTCTGCCTTGGCCTGGCTCAGTTGCTCAGGCAGATGAAGGCCAAGGAGATGGGCAGGGACCAGTGAGGCCCCAGATTTGGCATCTGTGCATCAAATGACTCATAGGTCAAAACCAGATTTTTTAAGACTTGCTCTGGCTGAAAAAGTCCCAATTTCCCTGTGCCTCACATCCTGTTCTGTTTTCATGGAAAAGAACATCAAAAAAATGCACGTTGATTGATTTCCCTGGCTTACTTTTTTTTTTTTTTTTTTCTGGTTCTAAGAAATTTCTCTTTTTCCCTTGCATAAACCTGCAATTAATTTAGCATTTGAAATGTGAGTTTCTAAAACAAACTCCCATGAACGCTACATAGCCATGTTTGGTTTTGCTGTTCTCTTGAAATCCCCTTCTGGTTTTTGTTAATATTTAGAACAAAAAAGACAGATGGGGAAGGGCGAAGGGATTTTCCAGTGTGTTTCCAAAACAGTCACTTCTAGACAAACATCAACAAGGCAAGATATTCTAACATTGCAGTAACAGCTTTGCAGGCACCCAAAACAAGTCACAAAAACTTTAAGAAAGATTACTGACAACAGGATCGTTGCCTTTTCCTCCTAGAGAAGTCAGAATTTTCCAAGCTGTCTAAAGGACCATAAGCTTTTCTGCGCCTTTAGAGATTGCCAAATTTCAATCCTCATGACATGCACGTCAATATTTCCAGAGGAGACGGGAGGGCCACAGGACTTTAAATGTCAAGCTTATGATCAACAAGAAAGGAACACTACACTTATTGCATGTGTGAGAACTGCTTTGTATTGTGTGTCTGGACTACAGTACACTCACCTATTCATTCATTCGTTCACTCCGTATTTATAATTAGCAATGAACATGACAGACAGGATTTCTGTTCTAATAGATTTTACAGGCTGGTGTGGGAGGTGACAGGAGAATGTAGACAGACATTGAATAAGCACTTACAAGTGCTCTTAGTTTTACAAAGAAGGGTGTGGTGCTCTATATAACAGTCAGAACTATCTAGTCTGGGAGGGTGTGGAAGTTTGCTGCAAAGACAGCCACCGGCTTTTCCTTCCAATCCTCTAAGCACTTGTCACTCGAAGAAATGGAGTCTACTTTCCCTCCTCTTGATCTGTGCTGGCCCTGTGATTTGCTCTGATCAGCAGAATGTGACAAAAGGGACACCATGTGACTGCCAAGCATAGTCCTTAGGGTGCCTTGTGGCTTCCTTTTTCACCGTCTTAGAAGTCAACCACCGCGTAGAGAAGTCCCGCTAGTGAAATCTTCGTGGGGAGAGAGTGAGTCCCAGCCGGCCATCTCAGCTGAGGTGCCTGACATATAAGTGAAGCCACCTGGGATCCTCCGGCCTCAGCCAGCTAGCCCAGCGAATGCCACGTGGAGCAGAGCTGAGCTGTCCCCACCAAGCCCAACTCCATCGCAGACTCACAAACAAATGAATGGTGGTGGTTTGAAGCCCCTAACTTTTGAGGAGGTTTGTTCTACAGCACTAGATAACTGAAACAGGGGGCCAAGGGCGGTTTCTGGAGGAAGTTCCATTTTAGCTAAGATTTGAAGAATAGGTAGAAGGGGCCGGTGCTCCGAGCAGATGGAGCAACATGTGAAGAGCCCAAGAATCATGGCACCATCAAGAATTGGAAGAAGCCCAGTGTCGCTGGAAAGTAGGGAACCTGGGGGAGAGTAGTTAGTGTGGAGGCTGGAGGGTAGATAAGGGCCGGACAGTACAAGGCTGGTAAGAAGAGACTGTACATGACCTTTCCCTTCATCCTACATGGTTAGCGGAGCAAAATTGAAAATGAGTACTTTGCCGAGAGAGGAAAATTCCAAACTTGGACTTTGCTAGCTATATCACAGACCCGGTGCTGATTACAAGTAAGGTCTGAAGAGAAAGAGAAGATTGATTTATACAAGAAATAGCTGTTGAGCACCAATCACCTTCGTCATGGGAAAAAGAACTCACAGTTCATGCCTGCTAAACATAGTGACATGCACATAAAAAAGCCAGCCTTACACACACACACACACACACTCCAAAATGCAGAGGGAGCTTCGTGTCAGGTAAGCCTGTGTCACCTCAGAAAAGTCACTTGATTTCACTGAGATTCATCTGTAATCTTGGAAAAACAACACTCCTTCCATAGATTATTGGGAGTCTTAAGTGAGAAAAATGTATGTAAGACACCTAATAAAATACATGAGAGATGCTAAAAATACGGTAGCAAATGAAAAGAGAAAATCTTGTGTAACTATAGTTCCAAGCAAGACAAGGCATATTTAGTAACACAGCAGAAGTGGAATTCAACATTTAAGACAACAGCAAAGTGCCCTTCTTTTGCCTTCTTATTGTATCTATCAGGAAATCTATTTCTGTCAGTGGTTGTAGACGACCATGAAAAAAAGTATAGTTTGTGTTGTTAGCAAAGCCTTCTCCGAAACCCTTTCCCACTCTCAGTGACATGATAGGGAGTCAATAACATATCTTTTGAGACTGTCTGACACTGTGATGTTTGAATGTGCCACAAGGAGTGTAAATGAATGGCACTTGGTGATTATTATGTGCGAGGCACTTTGCATACATGAAGTCATTTTACTTCCCCAGCAATCTCCAGTGATAGGTATTACTCTCCCATTTTGCAGATTTGGAAATCGAGGGTCAGAGAAGTTGCTGTCTTCCCTGACACTAGGTTCTACAACCAGAAAGTGTCAGGCTCCAAACTCACATCCAGGTGTGCCTGACTCCAAAACCTGTGCTTTCTGCCGTAGGCCAAGCCCCCTCTTGTTTGGCATACCTGTGTTTAGATGCACTGTGGTTTCTGAAGGGAGTTGTCCCAATTTAAAACTTACGGGATCTCGCAAGAGGCCTGCAGTGTCTCTTTAAGGAGCACCCTAAGTCAGTGGCAATTTTTTTTAAAAAACAACTGATATATCAAAGGAGACGAACCCTAGGGAAGCAGATCAGCTCTTGGGAGAAGTGGATCATTTCTTGGGAAGGGGATCATTCTTGGGCACAATGTCAACATGGTTAGCTCACTGGAGACTGCTCAAGAAAAACACCAAGGCGAGGTCTTCCAGCAATGACCATCACCTCACTGTCTGCTTATTTTTAACATTACTAATCTATTTTAAAGCCTGTAAAATTGCCTAAGGGTCAATAGAGACGATCTCAAAGGGCCATTTTCGCTCCAAGATCCTATTATCTCACAAGGTCTGCCATATTGGTTTGCTTCGGAAAGGTGGAGATGCCCATGTGCAGAACTCTGATTGCTCTCATCCTGAGTTCAGGCTCATGTATATCTAAGAATGGAGACTCTCTAAGACAGTCTAGGCTAAGTAACTTCTTCCAAGGAAGGAAGAAAATAAACATTTATTAAATTTTGTTTTGTGCCGGGAAATAGGCTAAGAATTTTCCCTTACGTTATTAAGCCTAAATCTGGCAACCCAGCCCATCAAGGCTAAATTTGACCTAAAAGCAGTTTAAGAAAAATTCCATCTTCATCACTGGTACCTATTTGTTATGGAAAAATAGAGGCTGAGATGGGTAGATATCCATTCTTCCATACATCAAAATACTGACTGGCTTGAGATGTGACATGCAGACAAAACTTGGGAGAATAACTGAAAAGAGTTGGGTAAATAGCAAAGAGAACATTTCAGTGCTATGGTGAGACATCCCAGACAAACCCCAGAAAAGGAGGGAATATACAGCCATCACTGAGAGTGGAGGGGCGTGTGAACGGGCTTTTTAGGGACACCAGAAAGGTGGTGAAAGCCAGGATATAGGACAACAGCCAGGAGATGTGACAAAAGTAATAGGTGTGACAATGACTACAGCTTTTCTGTCAGGACCCTAACCACACAAACATCAGTCCACCTCTGTTGTATGAATAGGAAATAATGGCATCATTTGCAGCAACATGGATGCAAATAGAGATGATCATACTAAGCGAAGTAAGCCAGAAAGAGAAAGACAAATACCACATGATAACACTTATATGTGGAATCTAAAATACGACACAAATGAACATATCTACGAAACAGAAACAGACTCACAGAGATGGAGAACAGACTTGTGGTTGCCAAAGGGGAGGGGCGT